AGAATACATTTTGGCCTAAATTTATAACGAAATTTGGTTTTTTAAATTTTTTTTACTGGACATTTTTAATAGCAAAAAGTTAATTTGGGTGCAGTGTTGCATGACCACGCAATTGTCAGTTAAAGTAACGCAGCGCCATCAGGAAGAGGGGTAAATCCTCTGGAGGGCAAGTGGTTAAATTAGGCTTTGGCAATAAAACCTACAAACTGATTGGTTTCTGTGCAGAGCTGCACCAGATTTTGCCCTCTCTGAGTTTAGTAAATAATCCCCAAAGTGTGGGTTTCTTGAAGTTGACTACAAAGTTGGAAAGACACTTTAATAAAACACTGAGATTATATAAAAAAAAAAAAAATTATAATAAATCAGAGAAAAAAAGCAATAAAAGTATAACTAAAGGCAAACCTTTTTTTTTTTTTCCCATTTTGGATAGTGTGGAGAGGGATTAGACCACTAATCTGTGTCCCCATTAAGGAGATTCACCCTATTTGTCCTGTTTACCATTATCATTGTTAAAGCAACATTTTGAGTTGTCCCAAAAAAGTAATAGAAGGGAAATCTTCCAATGAGGTCACTGGTTCTGGTGACTTGGGGGTCTCCAAGAGATTCTTTAATGTGTAAGGATTGCTTGTCACTTCCGGTTTTGGTTATGGGACAGAAAGTGAAGGTAAATCTCCCCAATGGCACACAGATGGAAAAAATAAATCGACGGGTAAAAACCCTCCCTTACTCTATCCAAAATGAAAAAAAAAAAAAAGTTTTGCCTCTAGTTCTACTTTAAACCTAGAAGAGCATATCTGAAGTGTTTTCTTACCTCCACGGGTAGACCAGCTACCTCTGCATAAGCAAGAGCCTGGGGCACCACTGTGAGTCCAACTGTAAATCCAGAAATGATATCAAGCTGTAGCCATTGCAGAGAATAGTTTGGTAACCAGCACATGAATGGTAATTTCCTTTGTACTGCTTCCCAAGAGCAACATCTTGCCAATACTCCAGCATTGATCCTCCTCCTCTGCTGGTCACCCAGCCAATCCATATTTGCTTATCCCAGTCACATCATTCCTTTGTAAAAGGAAAGAGAAAAGAAAATGTTATGCTTGTATACGTAATTTACAAGAGAAGGGCAAACAACAGCGGTAGTTCTAAATACAGTATTCCATAGCAACTTACTGTGACAGACCCAACCGGGACAGGATTTTTTGGAGGAGTCTGCAAGCTAGCCTCTTACTATATAGGATACTGAAGTTTGTCACCATTTCACAGGCGCACACAAGTTTGAAGGTTTAACATGCTGGGTATCTATTTACTCGGCGCAACCTCATCTTTTATATTTTACCAAAAACTGGGTTAATTTATTGCACCGATTTTCCCTAAAATTCACTTTAGTGTGTTTTTTTTTTACTGAAATGTTGTTTCCTAGACTATCGCAGTAATATCATATGACATAAAAGATTGGAACCATCCCGGTGTTATTCTCTAAGGTGTCTGCTTTCAGAAAATATATAATGTTTGGGGGTTTTATGTAATCTTCAGGCCTAAAAGAATTTTTTAAACATGTGCAAAAAATGCAAAATTGGCTCTCCCTTTTAGAAGGGAACCCTTCAAATAACTTATCTGCAGATCAAATTGCATTAGCATTATCAGTAATTTAAGACATCAGGATAAATAAAAGAATAAGGACTATGGCATAGTTAGCACATCTGACACCAAGGGCTGCTCTGTATCACAAACGTATTTCCAGTAAAAATAATAAAAAGACACAAATAATAGTGGCTTAAAAGAAAAGCAGACAATAAAATCTCACCTTATAATAATGTCCACTTAAATTAATAGGATGGTCAAACAGCACAAATTTTAAAACACTCCTTTGGTTCCCCAAGTGTTTATGGTAATCCTTACATATAACAGCCCATCCCAAACAACAAAGAAGAAGTGGAGGAAACAGAGGCTCACAACTCTTGTTATTTAAAGAAGTCCCATAAAACAAAAACTTACAACTGTGCTATCGCTCAGTACACAGGAAACAATTACTCATGATTATATAAGAGGACAGCATTACTTCCTGGCAACAATGATGCTTCACATGCGTTATGATGTCACAGGGTTCCAGCTCTTCCCAACGCATTTCGTCCAATCAATTTCCTCAAAAGTGGCAAACCCCTGTGACACTCTCCAGAAATACTCCAGTTAATTTTTTGCTGCAAACATCAACATACTTTGCTACTCCAAATAGACAAGGTGCTCCATCTAGCACCAAACTACTCCAGGCAGAAAAAACAGCCCACGCTCCCTGTCTGTAAGAAAAGGCAGCACCAGGGTTTGAAGACATTTTAAGAAGGTACCTCAAAGAGAACCTAACACACTCCGCTCTAGGAGAATCCCAATCATCCACAGGGCGATGCTTCAGGTTTCCTTTCACATAGAGCCTTCCATGGAAAGTGAGCCAGGCTCAATCCCTAAACTTCAAAGGGATTCTCTCCAAATTAATTAACCGTTTCCGCCGCCCTATAGCAGAAATACTACTAAAGGGTGGCAGGGGTGTGTAACATCATGTGTATATATACACATAATTTTGAAATTATGGGCAGGGGGTGCTCGCAAGCTGCAACTGGCAGCCTCGGCTGTCAATCACCGAGTCTTTGCCGGTGATTCCCTGCCGACACCTGGCAATCACCATGTATCACGGACGGGTGAGAGACCTGTATGTAAAACAATACAGGAAGGAGAAAAATAATCATTACCTTAATAATAACAATTTAAATAGATTTATTCAACTGAAACAATAACATTCCAGCATATGTTATTTGCTTAAAAAACATCCATGTTTGTTAACTAATTTGGCTAAACAAAATATATATATTTTAAGAAACTTAGACTGTCAGCCCCTTCCTCCTCACACTTAGTCTCACTTTCTTCTTGTGCAGATCTATTCCACTCCAAACAATCAGAAAAAATATTGTTTCTATTCTATTCACTGAACTTCTTGAAACTTAGCACTGAAAGGGTTGATTCTGTATTCATAGGTTTGTAGAAGTTAGGATTAAGGTCTTTTTCTTAACTCTGTTCATGTTATAACATTTTTGCTGTGAAGAAGAGGCATGTGATCTCCGTGAGTCAGATTCAGTTTTGAGAACTGCAAAAGTAAACCAAGCATCTGTGATAATATCTTGTAGGCAGAGAAACCAGGGCTGTGGAGTCGGAGTCTGAGTCGTGGAGTCGGAGGAATTTTTGGGTACCTGGAGTCGGAGTCGGCAAACAATGCTCCGACTCTGATTAAATTTAGATTGGAATTAAAAAAAAAAAGCAAGTTTAAATGTCCCAATTCACAAAAAGTTATAATTAATGACTTCTCTACTGTAAGAATAAAGACCAATGCATGCAGTGCCTCACGTAACCGCAAAACGAACACGTTAAGTGACCGTGAAGAAGCATGCTTTTCATGTGCTTCACTATATGGCACGCAACGCACAATTAGGAGCGGCAATACTTATACTTTCCATAGTGTTGTGTTCTGCTGTTACAGGGAACGCAGCGCCCATGGGTAATAAAAAACAATTAATAAAACTTTGTTTTCATTGTGTTTGTCTTTTGCTTAAACTGTTCAATACAGTAGACTGTTGGCTTCCCAGCCAGTAGTCCTGTGGGAATGACATGTATGTTGCCTTTCTTTCCTTCAAGGAATGTATAAAATACATTCGCATATTAATACAGAGGAGTCGGAGTTGGGGAGTCGGAGTCGGAGGTACACAAAACTGAGGAGTCGGAACATTTATCTACCGACTCCACAGCCCTGAGAGAAACTGCCCAATAATCTTTCAAAAACCTCTGGAAGAGCATGACATTGTGAATGGATTAATGGAATTTATTTACCAAAAAAATTTAAACATATACAGCCTTATACTACATAATTAAAAAACTAATCTTTATTTCATGATGGAACCTTTGGATGGTAATATATTTTCCTCAAAAAAGCATTTTATTTAAAAAAAATTTTAAATCAAAAAAATTTAAAAAAAAAAATCGGATTTTTTAAATCAAAAAATTCCGATGCTTCCCAAACCTTCGGTGAAAACCTCCGGTGACAGGACGCGCTTTCCGGTGACAGGGACGCGCTTCCCACTGATACAGGGACGCGCTTCCCACTGACACCCTGCGCGCTTCCCACTGACCTCCGGTGACAGGGACGCGCTTCCCACTGACCTCCGGTGACAGGGACGCGCTTCCCACTGACCTCCGGTGACAGGGACGCGCTTCCCACTGACCTCCGGTGACAGGGACGCGCTTCCCACTGACCTCCGGTGAAAGGGACGCGCTTCCCACTGACCTCCGGTGAAAGGGACGCGCTTCCCACTGACCTCCGGTGAAAGGGACGCGCTTCCCACTGACCTCCAGTGAAAGGAACCTTCTTCTTACTGACTGCCATGGTAAGGAACATTCTTCCTATTAACCATCACACTGATGTACCCTGCCCTGTACATGCAGTAATAATAAGCAGAGGTTCCCTGGGATCAGAAAGTTATTTCTGAGGATTCCATCATGGCAAACCATTTGGGAAAGTCTGGACTACAGTTAGGGGCTGTGGATGGTCAGCTTTATGCAGACAGTGGTGGGTCACCTGTATCCAGGACAGCACATCTGGTCAGAGAGAACAGACGGAGCAGTCAGGTGCTATCTTGCTTAGTCAAGCTTTGTCAGTGGGAGATCACATGTGATTGGTTGGCAGGTTTTGATAACAGATGTGACTAATGAGGAGCTTGACCTATAGTGGGCTATGAAGTATAGCTCCATTCACGGAGAGAAGCACCGGGTACACACACTGTACAATTCCACCACACAACCCCCCTACCCGGCTGTAGACGTATAAACAGAGAACACAGACAGCATACCACAGTCACGTCGCCGCTCCAGCCGCCCGGTCTAGATGTAGAGGAGTGTCCGGGTTGGCAGGTCATATGACAGTGGGGAGTGTTCAATGGAGGTAGAGGGAGGGAAGTACGAACACCATGGAGCCCGTCTTCTCCTGCCTGCTCGGCACCGTCCTGCTCTCTTCAGTGCTTGCCCGAAATGTGCTGCTTCTAGTCGGTGAGTGTCAGTCCTATGCGGAGCGGAGTGTGGTGAGGGAGCTCAGGGGGTCACCGTCAGCGGTGCCGGTGTAGCGGTGTTCAGTCCACAACTGGAGCCAGACTCTGCAGACATTGCCCCATCATCTCCACCCCTCACCGGGGTCACCACTCTGTTCCTGATACCAATACACATCCGATTTATCTCCTCTCCCACTCTACGGGATCATACACTTACTGCACCGTAACAGAAGACAACGCTTACAGAACTATACCGCGTCTTCTCCAGGGAGGAATGATGGAATGCTGGGCGCCATCTTGTCGGAGCCCTTATTAGCAGTGCGGCAATCGCTTCCATCCACAGTAACATGGCGAACAGGGTGGAGACAAAAATTAAGGAGGTGGCAGCCTCTAGTGGCAGAAAGTGAAATCACTGAACCTGATGTGTTATTACAGGTTATCCTGGTGTGATAAAGGTCTTGTAACTTTTTTTTTTTACCTATAGGTAAGCTTATAATAAAGGTAGGTAAAATGAATATCTCCTAAACATGCACCGTTAAGGAGATACTCCTTTTTTTTCGCATGTGCTCTGAAGGAACAGCATATCTGTGCCTTTCCTTCAGAGCTGTGTACCGTGGCTCGGGACATCATCGTGGTCCGGCCTGTCAGACAGCCGGAGCTTGCGAACTCAGAAGGAAGACGGGTGAAGATGGAAGCCTCTACAGCGGTGGCAGCGCGCCTCTGGAGGGCTTTGCTTTAAGGTAAGTTTTACATAATGGACTAATATGCGATGCAGACATTATGGCATTACCTTGCAGGGGACTTTTTTTCCCCTTTCCTGAGGTTTACTACTGCTTTAAAGTGGTTGTAAAGGTTGAAGGTTTTTTTTACCTTCATGCATTCTATGTATGAAGGCAAAAAACCTTCTGTGTGCAGCAGCTCCTCGAGCCCTCTCAATACTTACCTTAGCCGCATCACGATCCAGCCATGTGAACATCACTTTAACTAGTCTGATATTGAACTACCTTATTTTTCACTCCATAAGATGCACCAAGGTTTTAGAGGAAGAAAAGAAAACAAATATTCTGAACCAATGGACTGCAGACATAATACAGGAAATGACCAGAGACTGCAGATGTACTACAGGAGTTGACCAGAGACTGCAGACATAGTACAGGAGATGACCATAGACTACAGACATGCGGACGTACTACAGGAGATGACCAGAGACTGTAGACATAGTACAGTACAGAGACTGCGGACATAAGATGATCAGAGACTGCTGACCTTTGGGGAGCAGGTACCCCAAATTGACAGGTACCTGCTCCCACTTCCGCTGCGATCGCCTCTCTCTCTCTCCGCAGTCTTCTGGGACACGTAACAGGTTCCAGAAGACTACGGGGCCATTCACAAAGAGCAGCGCTTTCTCGTGCATGCGCAGTGGGCACCCGGCTGTGAAGCCACAAGCTGTCACAGCCGGGTGCCCACAGTAAAGATGATGAGGACACCGCTGGACCAAGGAGCAGGTTCTGCTGCACAGAAGAGCAGAGCGGCTGGCCTGGTATTCTTTCATGGCAGCGGAGACTGAGGGGAATACCGGGCCGGCCACTCCATAAGACGCACAGACATTTCCCCCATTTCTTGGGGGGAAAAAAGTGCATCTTATGGAGCGAAAAATACGGTACTTCCCTACCAGGACAATTCTAGCATTTCTCTCCTACATGTAAAAAAATCATTCTTTGCTAGAAAATGACTTAAACCCTCCAAATATTATAGCAGGGGCCCTAGAGAATAAAATGGTGGTTTATGCTATTTTTTTACGTCACATGGTATTTGCACAGTGGTTTTTCAAACGCAAGGTTTTTTTCTATACAGTTTATTGAATTTTAGTGCGCTCAAACACAATAAAATACCCAATGTGTTGGTAAAATATAAAAGACAATGTTATGCTGAGTAAATAGATAACTAACATGTCAAACTTTAAAATTGCTTATGCCTGTAAAACAGCACCAAACTACGGTACCTAAAATCTCCATAAGCAATTCTTGAGAAGCCTTTATAGGTTACCAGTTTAGAGTTACACAGGAGGTCTAGTACTAGAATTATTGCTCTTGCTCTGACTTTCATAGCAATATTTCACATGTGTGGTGCAAACGCTGTTTACATATGCCTGTGCAACCTACGTATGCATTCACCTTTGCACTCGAGCACAGAGCAACAAGGGACCTTTCCTTTTTTTTTTTTTTTTTTTTTTCTTTATACTGTCCTTTTTATTTATTTTTGTACTCTCTTCTCATTGGCCTACCCAAGTGCAGGCTCTCCCCGCTCCAGACCATCCTGAACTCAGCGGCCAGACTCATCCACCTCACCACCCGCTCCACCTCTGCCACCCCCCTCTGCCTCTCCCTCCACTGGCTCCCGATTGCCCAACGCATCAAATTTAAACTTCTAATCCTGACCTACAAAGCCATTCATAACACTGCCCCTGACTACCTCACCAACCTGATCCCCAAGTACCACCCTACCCGTACCCTTCGCTCCTCACAGGACCTCCTTTTATCCTGCTCCCTGGTCTCCTCCTCCCATGCACGACTGCAGGACTTCTCCAGGTCCTCCCCTATCCTCTGGAACTCACTGCCCCAATCCATCCGACTGTCGCCTTCCCTCCCCACATTCAGGCGCTCCCTCAAAACCCATCTCTTCAGGGAAGCCTACCCCACCCTCACCTAACGGCCATCCTCCCTCATTCCTCCCACCACTTCATCCCCCTCAGCCACTTCATTCCCCTCAGCCACTTCCTATTGTTCCACTACCCCCTCCCTCCTAGACTGTGTAAGCTTGAAAGAGTAGGGCCCTCTTACCCCTCGTACGCTGTCTGTTTTTGTTGTACTGTGCCATGTATTGTCCCCCCTATTGTACAGCGCTGAGCAAACCCTTTGGCGCTATATAAACTCGATGTAATAATAATAATAATACCCACTTTTATTGCTATCACAAGCAATATAAATCTCTCTTGTAACAGCAATAAGCAGTGACAGGTACTATTTACTGAGAGATCTGGGTTCTATTAGACTCCAGATCTTTCTTCTGCCCTTAAAAGAATCTGATCTGATCACTCCAAGATCGGTGTGATCAGATGCTTTCTCAAGCTAATAATGGCTTTGTTTACATTCGGCAAAACCAGAAGTGAGAAAATACTTGACACTATCGGTTTCTGATCCCATATAGATGATTGGGAACATTTCAGTCCCTGTTCAGTTTTTTTTAAGTAAGTTGGGATAGCTCCAGCTTCAGTCTCACAGTCTCAGGTTCCCCGATCAGAAGGGAAAGCCTGGGAAGACACTGGAGAGCAACCGGGGGGGGGGGGAGCTAGAATTGATTTTACAGTACAGTATAGAGCAGCGCAAGCAGAATAAAAAGATACTGGGATAATGCCTGTAGCTGCAGGCATCATCCCAGTATCTCCACTCAAAGTCCAGGACGTGTGTCATATGTCATTCTCACAGACAGTCCAGACAATTTCATGTGGTCCTTACACCTCTCCGGCAGCTGTGGCACCCCCCTCGTCTCCTTCCCCACCTTGTCTCAGAAGTTGGCAGCAGAGAGGAGGACAGAACTCCTCCACCAGATCCTGCACTTCTCCGTGCAGCCGCACAGAGGCTCCTATGGAACATGCAGTAGCAGCAGAGAAGACAGTCTCTCTGTGCAGCCACAGCACCCCCTCTTCTCTGCCTTCCCTGGTTTCAGCTGATTCCAGCCCTTTGAGGGCAACCATAATGCTGATGTGAAAATAAAATAAAGAAATGCAGCGCAACAATATATACATAAATATGGTGCTAACAATCTAATATGTGCATGTATAAAAGTGAAAAAACAGAAAGCTGTGCTTGTGAGAATCAATAAATGCTATACCAGATGTCTTCCAATGCATACATATAAGCACCCATAAAAACTGCATATAACCAGTTCTATAAATAAATAGCGCACACAAATACCAAATAAATAGTCCTTAATGGTGATCTGTCCCTTTTTTAAATCTTGAATGTCATCACGTGGACGTGTGTGGTACACTTCCTGTATATCGTGATCCAAATACACCAGCAACAAGTGTCATCTGAATATAAACTCTAAGAAATGGTGAACCATCCCTTTAAATCTGCTCTACTACAGGTGGACCAGTGTAAACACACTACTGCATAAGCGTGTATGGTGCTCCTGTGTCACCCCTTGGTGCTCTTCCACCTCCAACACTCTGTTGCGCTCACCTCCAAGTTTGACCCGTATTGTCAGCAAACTGTGCTTTTTCCTTTAACCCGGAGGGTATAATGGTACACAGATCTTCACCACTGCTAGCCAGCACTTTTAAGTGGCTCCAGATCGATCCATATCCATGTGAAAAAAATTGCTCAATATAGTGTAGTATTTCCACTAAAAACAGCCTTTATTAAAACAATCTAGTACCACTCATATTAAAATGTGTCGTCCTGGGACACTATAGGGTTAAAAACTTTCTATACAGTGTTTGCTGTAAGAAGTGTGCAGAAATCCCTTTTCCAAAATGGCGGTACGTGCACTTCTGGTTAGCTGCCTGACATCATAGGCAGCTACGCGTTACGTCACATCACATGATTTCATCAGGAGTATTTTTTATTAACCAGGTTCACTGGAACTAGTGTTCCCATTGGAAGAATTTCCCTCTATTTCTTTTCTGGGGGCAACCTAAAATTTGGGATTCTCTTTCACTTACAGTAATAACAGTAAACTGGACAAACAGAGGGTAAATCTCCCTAACAGGGACTCAGCAATAAAACCTGGCAGGGTTCTGATCCCTCCCCACTCTATCCAAAACTACAAAAAATGTTTTGGATTTAGTTATACTTTAAGCCAGCCTTTCTCAACCTTTTCAACACAGAGGAACCCCTGAAATAACCTTCTGGTCTCAGGAAACCACTGAAAAAAATTACTATGTCTAAATCTCATGATACAATAGTGTGATGGCCAGTGAGAAGCATGCTCCTAACA